CCCATCCCTGGCAGTGTTCAAGGCCAGGTTGGACACAGGGGCTTGGAGCAGCCGGGTCTAGTGGAAGGTGTCCCTGCCCCTGGCAGGGGGTTGGAACTGGATGAGCTTTAAGGTTCCTTCCAGCCCAAACCATTCTATGAAATCAGGAATATTTCTACTAACACTGGAAGTCTGTTCTCACCCCAAACCCCTCAACTTGTTTGTGTGACATTAAGTAACACAAATTTATATCGTCAAAGCATCAAACGGAAAATAGCTGATGATACTATAGATTACTCTGAGCTAGCAAGATATTAAAATGCTGACTGAGATACATGATTGAATTATGCAACAGCAACATGGAAACCTAGACAGGCTTTATGAGGAGACTGGGAAACACCTTTCATCTAAACAGCTGTTGGAATTTGAAAAATTACTGGAAGCCATGGACAAGTATAGACTTAGAACACACTGTCGCAGATTCTGCTGGAAAGCCACATGGTTTTTGTGGAGCCAAATGTTATTAGCTTGTAAAACACACATTTAAAAGAGCTACCTGTGTATTTGTTTCAATGCAATGCAAACAGGGAATTTTGTCCTTTATTAAATGTTTATTTTGGATGCATCGACAAAATCATAAAGCATTATTATGAATGTACCAGTTTCAAAATGGAGTACTTTATGAAATAGCTATCACTATGACTAATTGCAGCTGCATTTTATCCTTAAACTTAGTCCTATACTGTTGATCCTAGTTCTTGAAAAATAAAGTCTGAAGTTACAGTTTCCCAAGGGGCAAATATATTCAATCAAGAAATTAAACACTGAGAGACAGTTTATGAATTGAAGACAAAAAACAAAATCACTTTTTCTTTTTCTATTCAGTCATGACTGAGCTATTCTTAGGGCTTGAGACAGCACTGCAGGTCACACAAGCCATTAAGAAGTGCCAGGGAAATGTTAACATTGATCCCTGAAATTTGCCATTTTGTTCCAAAGATAGCATTTTTATGTAAACACGTAAAACCTTACTAAAAATGGTTACACCAAGTTTCAACTTCAAACCTTAAGGTAAGATATAGTAAATTTGTAGAGCAACATAGGACATGCATAAGCTGTTCCAAAAGAAATCTGATAAGCATTAGCTATGATGGAGCAAGCAATTACTTAGCAGTACTACATTTGTGGAGTATATGCTTTTGGACTTAAATTATCTATGAGTTCTCAAGCTGATTGTTGCCATTTTTTACAATAAGGACACTTTTTCATCTGAAAAAATTAAAATTATATTTGGCAGATATGTTGCTTTTAACCGAAACAGCTTCCAGAGAAGAAAAAGCTGGATTGTAAACAGCAATTGTTTTTTGTAGAGTACACATTTTTATATTTTAACATTGCCAAAAATCCAAAACATTGAATAGAATACTGAAAAATTTTTGTGTGAGAGAAAGATATAGCTATGTAAAGACAAGTGTATGTTTCCTTGAAATGTAAGTACACTAAATGACTTACACTGTCATTTCTTAGCACTATGCATTAAAGAAACTGTAAGGGATAGTACAAAGAATGCACATAACATGGTTGGATCCATCTACTGCTATTGGCTGCAGGTTAATCTTGGGTGCACTTCAACTGATCCTGAAAGCTGGAACTGACCAGCCGAGTCTTCACTAAGATTTCGGTGTAAGGACAACTTTGGCAGCAGTGATTTTACAGTAAGAAAAAACCCCTGATGTCCTGGAAATACAATTAAAAGAAACCCAAACCATACTAAACACTTTGTTCTGCCTTTGATCAGTGTATGTCACTCCATTTGACGGAGGAAACAAAAATACTCAGTTTGATGGTTAAAAAAATTAATCATTTAGTCAGGCACGCAATAATGGAGTTCCTTACAATGGTTTGTGATTCAGCAAGTGACATGGGTCAGGATATGCTACAGCATAATATTCCACTACCAGCACTTTGGACTCTCTTATGCCTTTAAAGTGCACTGTAGTACGTAAAGGGACAGGCCAAAATCTTGTTCAAAACCAAGAAAGAATATTCTGTTTCCAATTTCAGATGAGCTGGAGTGAAAAATGAGTTTCTAAGAAACGTAAAGGAGTGTAGTATATGATCAAACACTGAATCAAAGTTCATGAATTTCCCCTGTAAAGGACTGCAATTCATGGTGTCGCTTTTAAGAGGACATACAAGTTCAAAGGAAAACATACTTTCCACATCACTCAAAATTAAAAGAACATGATCTGTGTATGTTTACTTGATCAACAGCTTATTAAATGCTGCATTATGGAAATCTTTGTATTTCAACCCATTTTCTCTCTTTCTGGCAGACCAGGAATTATTTTTGTCATCTAGGAACATGTTTTCCTATTTTTCCTATGTATTCTTCATTTATGTGGATAAATAAGCCTCAAAATATCTTATCGATCCTCAATTACACTTCTACAATGTTTCACTTTGGAAAGTTAATTTTCTTTTCTTATGATTCAATCTCATCCTAAGGACAATCTCTGTAGTGCTAGTACAGTCATTGTATTATACTAACTATAATACTACGTAGTAATAGTTAGTATAATACCATACTAACTATTACATTAACACCGAACTTCAAGTATCTAGATATTTTTTCTATGTCAATTTTATTTCAAAAAAGAAATGCCTACCCTTGGGAAGGTTCCTAAAATTGTCTTGAGTCCAATATATTATGTCTATGATAAAGTTACACCGAACTTTAGATTTTATTTTATTTGCTTCAAGAATTCAAGGTACTTCTGAAAATCAGAACAAATGAAGCAAGCCAAACATATCCTGGGCTGCACCAAAAGAAGCGTGACCAGCAGGTCAAAGGAAGTGATCCTGTCCCTCCACTCTGCTCTCATAAGACCTCACTTGGAGTATTGTGTACAGGTCTGGTGTCCTCAACATAAAAAGGACATGGAGCTGTTGGAGCAAGTCCAGAGGAGGACCACAAGTATGATAAGAGGGCTGGAGCACCTCCTGTATGAAGACAGGCTGAGAAAGTTGGGGCTGTTCAGCCTGGAGAAGAGAAGCTGCGTGGAGACCTCAGAGCAGCCATCCAGTATCTGAAGGGGGCCTATAAGGATGTGGGGGAGGGACTCTTTGTTAGGGACTGTAGTGACAGGACAAGGGGTAATGGCTTCAAGCTTAAACAGGCGAAGTTTAGATTAGATCTAAGGAAGAAGTTCTTCACAGTGAGGGTGGTGAGGCACTGGAATGGGTTGCCCAAGGAAGTTGTGAATGCTCCAGCCCTGGCGGTGTTCAAGGCCAGGCTGGACAGAGTGTTGGGCGACATGGTTTAGTGTGTGGTGTCTCTGCCCATGGCAGGGGGGTTGGAACTAGATGATCTTAAGGTCCTTTCCAACCCAAACTATTGTATGATTCTATACGGTGGATTAGATTTTTTTTTAATGGTATTATCTATCTTAATAACTGTTTTACTTATAAGGTTGGCAACTCATTAACTGAAATGAAAATCATCATCTCTCATTTATATTTATTTCCTATGAAAGTAAGAGTGAAAATGGGTATCTATGATACAATGATAATAAACATATAAATCTTCACTGTGTCAATTTTCTGTGTCAATTTGCTTGAAATTCTTTCTTGAAAGACAAACGTGTAAAAGGAGTAAGAAAAGACCAAGTTCTCTTCCTTCGGTTGTAAAATCATTCTATACTCTTGATAGCTGGACCACCATGCTGCCTGCTGTGACCACCCCAGGGTCTGCAAAATGCTGGTTATGAAAAAATGCACTAACTCCAGTAGTGGTATGGCCCTGGTACAATAATGACTTGATAATCTCTAGTCTGTGGTGTGCTAAAGGTAACTACAGCAGCCCTTAAAATTTGTAACTCTCTTAAGAGAGAAATCTAAGTAATACAAGGGGCACCTTATTATTTCTTTTTAAAGACTTGCTAATCATGTAAGCAACTCCAAGCAAGCAAAAGATTTATCTAAAGTGCAGACAACTGCTCATGTTGGGCCACTTACTACGCTAAAATCCTCATCTTTAATCCAGTCTACTCTAGATACACTAATTTTACATCTGGAATTCTTCTGCACACTTCGGAAAGGGGATTGTCTACAAAAAGTGTAATACACTACCTTAACTAAATCCATGCCTGGAATAAATCAGTATAGCTTAACTGAACTTGATCTATATCAGTTTTTAACAAATGATGATCCAGTCCCAGACGTACACAGAAACACAGAAAACCTTACACTCATATCTGTAATGCTTTTTTATCTGTTTAGAGTGGAAATAAATACAGTTATGGAAATAAAAACAGCAATAGAGAATCATCCACACTTCTTCTTTCAAATATAGCTTTTCTTAGAAATATTTCAAAACAAGGAGTTTACTATGCTAAAATTGAGTACTTCTTTGCAGAAAAGAACCATACTTGTACCATTCTTTACAAAATATTTAATCAGTAAAGTAGAAATGTAAACAAAAATAACACCATTTAAAAAAAACCTGCATTCAAGGACTATACTGACAAAATATTCCCAATGTTTGAACTCTGACCTGTGAAAGAAACAGAGTATTTGTACAGAGTTGTAGCGACAGCAAAGGCACCTGTAAGAGATGCATGCAGAAGGAAAGTGCTGTGGGATCACTTTTTAAAATCGCAGTTAGCAGTTATCAAAGTATGTAACTCATCAAAGCATGTTCTCCTTGTCTTATGTATCCCAAATGTTACTTGTACAATGAAATAATGATTTTTCTAAATATTATAAGATTTTATTATTGTGCTTACATGTTCATTCCAGGCATCCCCGGGCCACCTAAAGCATTCAGTGGGGGTCTCATTGCACCTCCATAGTTCTGCAATGATAACCAAGGGTCAGACTACCACAAAACAAAAAAAGAAAACCAAAGAGGAGGGGAAAAGAAAGGACAGCAGGTTAATGATATCCCTACATAACTGCTGATTGGATAGGCCAATGTAATTCATTCTTTCAGGAGTTTCCATTGTTGACTTCAAAAAATAATACCATTAACCCCACCGAGAAAGAATTACAATAGAAATAGACTAAGAATACTTAAAATGCCAGTTGTTTCAGGAGGAATTATTTACACACGCAGAGGTCAAGGCAATGGTCAGCAAGCAGCAGGCTTTATAATGTATTTAACTTTTACACAAAGGGAACTCATTCAAAATCAGAAACCTGGACTTAAATTCAAAGATTTCTACATCATGGCATTTAAATAGAATTACTTTGAATTAGATTTTGTTAGGACATCAATAAATGCTTGTATAAAATTACACTATATGACATCACTCTTGTAACACACAGCATAATCATTACATTTCTCTTCTAATCAGTCAGTTCCAGTAAGTCTATAGTAACTAATATAAAAAGTATTTAATAATGAATGTCCTAGCACTGCTAACAAATGCATTGCCCAGTGCCTATAAAATCTGAGTTTATACTCTGATATTATGTCAGAAGTTTAACTGTATTAGTTATGTGAAAAATAAATTATACCTATTTTCATTCAAAGGAATACAAGCGCAACAGTCTGGGAGTTGTAATAGACTCCCTGAACTGTATAAATCCTGCTACATTTTTCTGATATTTCAAAAGAATGGGTAATAGAAAATTCACTAAATTGGACAGCTGTGTATTTTGGAAGGAGGTGGGAATAAAGAAGAAATTTAAAAAAACTGGGTTGTTGTTGCAGTCCATTTTCCAGTAATAAAACTAATACACCCTATTTCACGTGTGGTATACTACAAGCTGCATAAACTGTATCAGTTAGGCTTATGGGTGTTCTCTATGTCGGTCTGATTCATAAAACCATGTAAACATGAAGTCATGAATGGGAGTTCAAAGTGTGGGTCTGGTACTGTTTACACCTTGACTGATATGACACGATCAGTTACCTAGAACTGATCTAGAAGCGATCAAGAATTAGGACAAGAGCTTCTGTTGCTGCAAATAAAACCCCCAAACTTAAAAATCTCTTAATTATCAGCAATCCTGAAAGAGTCCCATCGATAGCTGGTTTGCAAGAATATAACCAGAGGCTGCAAACATCCTCTTCCAGACCCAACAGGGATATCTGAGTTGCTGGTCATCAATAACTACTCATCCTGACTTTTTGTGCCCAGCTGGTAAACTGGTGGCAAAAGTCAGACAGATTAACTCCTGTTTAACCTAAGTTATCCTAATGATTTGCCTGAACAACTGTAGGGCAGTAAGTGACGGGTAGGCAAAACAGCTGGGCACAGTGACAACCCCAGCTGGCAGTGCTGGATCTGGAAGAGAACACTGTCTGACTAACGAGACAGCAGTTCTGTATCTGGTTTATTTCATTTTTCCATCTTGATGTGGAGGGCTAAGGCTGTTTGGTCTCTCTGGTATCTCCCCTCTTTATTTTAATTCAGGAATCATTTGTGTGGACCCAGGTTAAAGATCTCTATGACAACCCGCAGAACTCGAAGAAACCTAATCAAATGTACTTCTAACTCTAATTGCTGCCAATTCTCATCAAATGTACTTCTCTGTCCTAAAATAAGAGTGCTTTCATTAAGGCTACCAATATACATGTTCCTTCATCTGCAGCTATACTCTCTGCAGAAGTCAGTGTCCCAGTTTGTTTCTTATAGCTTTTTACTCTAAGTCAGCACCACCACTGCATTTGGCATTCAAATTGTTCATAAGAGTGCTCTTTAACATCAGGTGGCCAAAAGGAGCCAAATTAGCCAGAAACTTTTACTTAAATATTGAAGATTACTTGATTCTTTTTGTCTAGAAAGCAGTAGGGATTATGTGGGAGAGTCACCAGCAGATATGAAGGATGGGGAGAAGTAGCAGTCACAGACAGAAGGTAGTACCCCATTCATCTAACATAGCTATATCTTGGAAAAAGCCTGAACCTAATTCTCTGGACCTTTTCACAGATTTAAGTGTTTGCAACCATCCACTTCTTTTTGTTTTGTTTTTTTTTTGTTTCATGTTATTTAGTTTGAAACAGTCTAGCATCATAAAATACAAAACTGAGGTAAATTTTCTTTACATTTTCCAGCACATGCATGCTGTACTGGACACAAGCATTTCTATATCAGCACATCAATTGTTCTGCAAGTTGACTGCCTGTGCTGCAAGGTAGCACAGCTTCCCACTACAGTCACACCTAAGCCACCTTTACAAGAGGATGTTAAAAGTAGGTGTGAAAGATTCACCGAATTCAGTTTTGGAACTGCATTCTGAGAAGATCTTAAATGCCAGAAACAAAGGTAGATGATGATCCGTTTGCAGAAAAGATCAATTTGCAAACTTAAATTTTGTGTAGATTATATTTTTTCCCCATTTTAAGAGGATGTTCACTACAAGAAAGAAGAACCTTACAAAAACCACTAGATTTTAGGAGACTGCAAAAATAGAAAAATTATTCTTACAAAAATTGGCATGAGATTTGCCAGCTGTGTGACTAGTGGTGCTGAATAAGTACCAGTTCAATCTCATATGGCAACATTGTGATGTTTCTCTTCCTACCTCCAAAAGGCAACTGGCAAATATACTTCAGTGCTACAAAAAACCCAACAAATGTTTGTTGGTCACACAGCTGATACTGTGCAGACCTGCACAACTGATTTCTACCCAAGACCCGAAACTGTAAAGACAGTTATGAAAAGATTTAAAAAGCAAAGCTATTTAATCATTTAAAATTCAGTTGCTATTCCAAGGAATAAAGAAGTCACTAGAGAGATTATCTGAAATGAGGAAGCAAAATTCGAAGTGTGGGCACAACAAACATGCTGTAAAACAAAACACTGGCAACACTGGTATGAAACACCACCACCTAAATCTTCTTACTGAGAGCACTGACAAACACAGAATAATATTCTGGATTCATATTTCAGGTATGCATCAGAATTAATTTGTTTACTGCTGAAATGTAATACTGATAAATATCCATTCATGTTTTCACAGATTTGAAGAGCAAGCCTATAAATAATTAGTGCCCTGGAAAAGGCTTATTCTTGCAATGCAAGGCCGCTTTGGACCTCAGGAACAGAGCTAGAGAGATTCTTTTGATTGATAAGGGGAAGAAATGGCAGCATGAAATTCTAATATTACATTAAAATCTCTCTAGCAATCCCCAAAAATATAGATCAATAATGGATGAAAGAAAAACTTCACAGAATTTTTGGGGGTATTTTTGGTACACATAGTTTCCTAAGTTAGAATTATTAATCCTTTCCTCCTAAACAGCATAATCAGTTAGGCTGGGAGGATGAGGAAACACTTGTTCTCCTTCACAGATGTCAGCCTTTGATTACAACATACACTGGCTGTAGGACATACAGAACTTTTCTGAAACAAGCAAGGTAAGGGATTCCTCTTTTAATTTCAAATCTTAATTAAAATGACCGATGGTTTAATTTTAGACTTTGTACAGCCTCAACTCAGAATTAGCTTTTGTAAAACAGAAAGTTTATTTTAAAACGGGATTAGAAGAACAAGTCTTGGCCATCTTCAAGCTACAGAAAGCCAGAGGAACAGTATAAGTATAGGCCTATCAATAAAAATGGGCATCTATCTGTGGAAGGTACCTGTGGTCCTAATGGAACCATTCCTCTCGGAGGAGTCATTCTCTGCATTGGCCCACCCATGTTTGGATGCCCTGCAAATAAAATTTTGTAACTTAAAAAACTATGCAGTACACAAGCACCTTCTAAAACAGCTTTAACAAATCGCTCTTTTTATAATTAACAACAAGCTTAAGAAGCTGCAGTAAGCTTTGAAGCAGGAAAAAAAAAGACACAAGTTTGAGAAGACAGTGCTTTTGAATAGTCCAAATAATTATTTTGTTCACCTTGCTGCCTTGTTGGGTCCATCCCGCTAGGCAATAATGGCTGACTTCCTGGGACACCTCCGAGTGCCTGCAGGAGCAGAAACCATGTTAAGAGCGTATAATTCTTTGAAATTTATGTGCCTAATTTGCACCTCCTCTGCCCACCCTTCACTTTATCTTACCTATTATTTAACCTCCAAACAGTGCCTTTTTCTTGGGTATGTGGCAACTTGTCCCAAGCTTATATTGTTACGGTTTTCCCTTTTAACTTCCTCTTTGACCATTATTTTAACATTTCCTTTCAGAAGTCAGGATGCAGACACTGATATTTTCCAAGAGTGAGCCATAACTGAACCAATTGCACAGTATTCACAGAGTACAGCTAGTGAGCTGTGACACAGGGGATATTTTATCTTCCACTCTGCCATACTCTTCTTGAAGGGTGTCAATGCAAAGATAAGCTTATTATTCATCTATGGGATACAACAACTGTCACAAAACTTGCTCCTAAATCTTGCCTTGATGCATTAAGGTACATTGTATTGTTACTTCACCTCTGGTCCAAATCAAACACATTGCTTTTATGCCCCACATTTTAATCTGACCTTTGAGTTTATAGTAAATAAATTACGTTTACGGCTAATTTCTACAGTCTCTTACCTGTAGGTTAGTCAACAAAAAGTTTTTTTATGAATGGATCTTCGTGGTTGATCCGTTTCAAAACACCACCACATTTTCAGTGAAAAATACTCAAGCAATACAGGTAATGCTTACTGTGGGAATGGGTAAGTTACTCTTGACCTGGAAATACCGTAGTAGTCTTGGATATATATAAAAGGGAACTTATCTGCAAGTACTATAGAGTGTGTTCTACAAGAGGTAGGAAATTCACAGTTAAAATGAACATTATTTCCTCAAAGGTAATACAGTCAAAAGGTAATGCACTGAAAGATTAATGGAATTAACAAATAATCTGAGATGACATCATTTAAATCAAGAGTTTTACATGTACTTCAAATGCTTTAAGTTAGGACAATACATAAGAACAATACATGAAGTGTATGTAGAAGTGTCAAATACCAGCAAAGCAGGAACTTATCACTTCTGCCAGAGATGGACACAGAAGGACAAGGACGGATTTGCTGCTGTGAGCACATGTGACCAAAGACTTAAGTCATGCAGTCATTACGCTGTGGATCATTACATGAGGGACTGTGGTTCCTTTCTAACACATCAGACTACTTCCCAAGAAAAACAAGTGACCTGCACACCACAATGCATTGCCAACAGCAAATAACCTTGTAGGTCTTGATCTTGTAGGATGTGATCAAGTACTGGAGGCAACTTAGGGGCATACATGCAGCACTCAGTACTAATTTACCTCCTACAAAGCCTAGACTGGCTCAGATAAACCTTACACAGCACTGGACAGTGTTGTGCATGCATGTCCTGTGTTATCCTTTCTTGCCTAAGAAACACAATCCCTACTTCAAGGCATTAAGGAATAAAATCATAGTTAACAGAGAGAATTTTAACTCCAATTTTTACTGACTTCCATCTAATCAAAATTTCATCCTTAAAGCTGCACTACAGTAGTTTATTACTTCCACACATTGCCCATCTATACTGTAACTTAAATAATGGCAGTGTTGCTAAAAGCAGTAATTCATTGATGTGGCATAATGTAAGTGAATGGCAAGAGCAGTAACTCACTGAGATTATGTGATTATGTTACAGATCTGAACTGAAAATATCACAATCTGCAGTCAAAAACACATCTGAAACTAAAACTGCAGGTTGGCAGTGCTTTCACAGCATTCACCACATCCTGCTCCTACCCGCCAGCATTTACAGTGTTCAGAAACAGAAAAACAAAAGAATATGTGAAACCCAAACACTGAGTATTTTTGGCTAAGGTATTACTGAGAAGTGCAAAAATAAAGAAGATATTTTATACTGAGTTACAGTATGTCTGTAGCAATTTTTTAACTGACTCTTCAGTTGTCCCTTGATGATCACATCAGGAAGGTTAATGAAGTCACCCATTTCCCTTGTGATAAAGCAGTTGTGGTACAGGTAACTTAAGCTGCTCCCAAACATCACCATATCTGAAGAAGTCTTGGCACCTGATATACCCAGCCCACTCAAATTTAAACTTCATGCTTTCTGACGATATGCCAGTGCTAAAGACAGGTTTGTTGATGTGTTATACAGCTATAAAAAATAGCCAGCTCATTGAGCTGTGACAAGAAAGGCAGTCCTGGGAGTCTGTTGGACCAAAACACCCATTCCATCTATCTTATAACCTTTCCCAATATTGCAAATGACCCACTTTTTCTTTCAGAGCTCCACTGATATTTTTGTGATTGCTTATCTTCACCTTTTTATCTGCTGACAACCACTTTCTCCTCCTCTATCTGCACCAGGGAGAACTTAAAAATACAAATGCTATCTGCTTCCAGAACCAAACAGCAGCTCATTACTTGTTCCTGCTACACTGTCATGCATATCTTTTTCAGAAATAACAGAAATTGGGAATTTGATGCTTTTATGAAGTCTTCAGTGTCTCTAAGAACCATAAAGCACTTTATAGTATCTCCTTCTCACCAATAATCTTCATATTTACTAAGAAATATACTTCATATATCCAACACAGATTAGGAGGGAGTGATGCATTTGAGATAGAATTAAGTAAAAAATATTCTCAGAGCTAACTGCTTGATGTGATTAGGAACTTTAGAGAGTGTAACAGTTATGGGGACATTCTGCTTTCATCTCAGAGCAGGCAGCCATACCCACCCTCTGCAAAAAGGCTTAGCACACGATTTTGAGGTGTAGACACTAATTAAGCATAGGAAAGTCAGCTGGGAGTGGCACGGCTTCACCTTATCAAAATGACTAACGGTCAGACAAAATGGGGTGGGGAGGGACTGAATGAGTTTTGTATCCCACAGGCCATTGACAGCCAACAAGACAACATTCCCTGTCCCCACCACTGTACCACCACCACCCTGGACCATGACGCATCAGTGATACTTACCTGATTAGGTATTCTTAAAGGTGGCCGTGGACCTCCAGGGTACCGAGGGGACATGAAAGGCTATGAAAAACAAAGAAATACTGCTAAATAATTCAACTTAGTTTGTAAATACCACATTGAGTCATTGGGTGTGTATGCCTTGTGCCATGCTCACACCTCAAGCATCCAGCTTAAATACTTCCACAGAACTTTCAGTACATTATTCCACAATGTTTCACAGAACTAAATAAATTTTGAGATGCATCTGTTTAGAACTTTGCTGCAGCAATTGTGAATGCAGAATGTAAGCAACACTATAACAGTAGAATAATAAACCATTTAGATCACATAATCACACATCTATACTTTCCACTGGAGAAGGGGGAAAGATATGAACCCTGGAATAGAAAACAAAAATGTTCTTGGAAAAGTCAAGAGGTAAGTAACAGCATAAAAATTCACTAATGCTTTCCATTCACTTTTTCATAATAATACAGTAAAATGTAATACAAGATTGTGAGGGGAGAGATTTCAAGTTTATGTTGTTCCATTAACCATATTAATTCAATCTTGCACTTGTCCCATCCCCCCATATGCAACTCCATGGTCACACAGTGCATCTCCTCCTTCAAAACCAAATTTATACTCAAATCTGTCATACCATTCTGCACCTTGTGGGGTTCTAGTGTCTCTTAGTAACTACCATACTACATGATTCACAGCCCACAAAGGTGGTCAGTCTCTTATTATAAAAAATAGTAGTACCAGCAAATACATTTAACATCTCTACTTATTCCACCTCAAAGTGTGACAATAATCTAGAAATCTAAACAGCCAGGAAGTTAGCGGCAAGTGTGAGATCTACATACAGGACAAAAAAGGGACAAACATCTGACTAAACAGATGATGAAGAGGATCATTTTGGCAAGCAAGAGTACCTATAACTCTAGAAGAAGATGAAAAGCTAAAAGTATGCTCTGACTGTGAACACAGGGACAAAAAGACTGACTCTTTGTATTGCAAAAGAGGAGCTCACTTCTGTTCATGACACTGCCACTGGAGACAAAGGAGGGATAAAGAGCAAAGGAGTCTGCTGGGACTTCCCAGGGACCATCTCTCATGACAAAGGAGCTGCTGCACTTTTAAACCCGCTCTTTGGGGTCTTTTTGAAAAGAAACAAATATACCTACACAGGTATCATCTAGTCGGCTGTAGCTATGGACCAATGAATGGCATATTTCAGCTCCATCATCAACACTGCATTATAAACTAAAATGCCTGTGATGATCAATGCTAGTAATCATGCATTAATAGCAGCAATAGCTAGCAAAAGAATTTTAATTATTTTACCAATAATTAATAAAGGAATTTGTCCTATGATATTGCATAAAAGATTTAACAGAACCTTTCACATCTTAGAATCAGATGAAAGCTGAAATAATGTAACCTATATAAACATGAATTCAAAATAGGTGCTAGAAAGCAATTTATATACAGAGGGTTTACAAACTGGGGAAGACAGTTCAGTGACAATTGTGAAAAGATAATTAAAAATGGCATTTGAAATTCTGTGCTATAGAAGAGGAAGGCTTCCTTCATTCCCCTTTTGTGATGGTGAGAGTCTCTGATAAGAAAGAAATAAATTAAAAAGTGTTCTGCATGTGGTGAAGGCTGTAAACATGCAGGCCCTTGTAAAGCAGTAAAAGCATGAGAAAATCAGAATTTCAACAATTCCCATAAAGGTCAACCTAGTGCATTATCTGGAGTGCAGCAAGATACCCTAGTGAGTATCTTGGATTTGGCTTACCTCATTCAGCAAACGAAACATTAACTTTATCTACAATTGTTAGTTCATAAAAGGGAAATCAGCAGTGTCTCTCAAGTCAATCATATCTTAATATAGAATCACACTACTAATATTAGTATATAACCATGCATTATTGGCAGAACACTGCTCCTTTTAAGCACAGCGGAAACCTGCTTTCCCTCTCCCCTCAGTGGCTTCACCTTTCTATGCAGTTTATAAAAACATTTCAAACTGTATTTTTTTTCATAGAATTGAAATTTTATTAAAAACACTGAAACAAAAACCCCACTGCAGTAACAAGAGAAAGAAGTTTACTAATAAGAAGTCATAACTTCACTTTTCAAAAGATGGTTTCTAATGCCTGACAGTAAGTCTGCATGTTTTGGTTTGCTGTGAGTAGCTGCCTCAGATTTTTTGAGGTCTGGGTCTAGGCAGGTCTCAAGCCCACTAACTTAAAACAGGTAGTCACAGAGTTTTAACTGGTCAGTGTAGCACTTGTCTTCTGAAGAAAAAAAAATAATTCTTCACATGCTTAAGATGCAAACACTTCTTCCTGCTACCTCAGCCCTGTGTCAACTGAAAATTCAGTATAGTCGAAAACCTGTAACGGATTCCCACACTAAATTCTCTCCTTATTTGCCTCAAAAGTTCAGTGGGGGAAGTGGATAGGTGCCATGCCAATGAATCAAAGACTTCCTTGCTCACCCCAGCTAGAAGGGAGGGAGAGGGCTGTCAGCAGTACACAGAGTACAAGAGCACTTCTTCCACCTAAGGATTAGAGGCGTATGACTTACAAAAAAATAAAGTAATATGTTACGCTATGCTATACTCATATATTATGATTATTATAAAAATATATATCATCCTACATAAAAACATAACACAAATATAATATCATAACTACATATGATTACATGGTATGATACTAAAATAATAATTTATAATAATGAAAAACTAAAGAATAATCAATATTCAAGTAGAAATAAATGGAAAAATATGCCAAAAGGTAGGTAACATGATTTAATAATATACCAACTTTAGCCATTAGGTAGGAAGAAGACAGAGGGGAGCAAAAGATTATCTCCTAGAGCCCTCTCTGTGCATAAGGACACTCTCCAAATAATGTATCTGGCATTTCAGGCCCAGATTCTGATTAAGATGTTGCAAAGCCTGTCTATGGGAAACCAGTCTCTCAAAGCTGACCTGGCTGAGGAAGAAGAGTCTTACCAAAGTGGCTCCATCCTACAGTAATTTCCAGAGCCTGAAATGGCTCTTAAGGGTTTCCAGTCACCACTGCAGCCTTCAAGTCCTTCTAAACTACAACAGGGACATTATGACGAGTACAAGGAGGTATAAGCAACACTACTGCACACTGTCCTAAGCTACAATTTACTTCTCAAATGGAGTTCAGGAACTGGTACATACGCTAGTGTATTAAGAAAAAAAAAAACACCCCACAACAAAACACCAAAACCAAACGCCAAACAAAAAAATAAATAAAACCAAAAATCAACAATGAAATAAAACAAAAAGAACAAACAAACAAAAAACGTAAAGAGAAAAGAACATGAATGAAACAGAAGAACAGCAAGAATGCCGTATCTAAGCCACCATTGAGATGGAGATGCCACCAGCGTTTGAAAACCTGTGTCACACAAGTTACAGCAACAGCAGAAGATCTGGAAACTGTTTTGGAGAACAGCCAATGAAACACATCTGTGAACATCAGTATATTGTAATTACTGCCTTCAGGTATAAAATCCAGTATCACAGGAAGCACCTTGAAGGCTGTTGTCACGCAGCTGCAACCAAAGCAGAAGCTTTGGTCTACTAAACTGGGTGAAAAAGAAGCCAGAGGAGAAAAAACTTTTGTGCAGTTACTGCAGACTATACGGACCATATGAATTTATTAACTTAGAGAGAAAAAAAGCCCACCGAAACCAACAAAATTACTAAAAAAGGATACTTAAAAAATACTAAAAGAATACAGACTACACAAATTAAAATAAATATGAGAAATGTTAAATTTAGTAAGCTCCCTGCTCTTACTTATAGCATCCTGTCAAGTTGAATTGTTAAAAATACTTAAAGTTCAAGAACTGTGTAATTCTTACTCTGTCTTTTTTTAGTTGTTTGGATGATTCTAGAATATGCTGTGGTTTAGTTTTCTTGTACCTAGTACCAGTGGAATAAAAGAATTTAAAAGACAGTGTTTTAGTAAGTATGACAGATTTCAATAAGTCTACTTTTATTTACATTTACTTCCCATCCAAAAGCTGGGAAAATAATTTACTTGCTTCCAAATGTAGCAAGGGTTTTTTGCATTGACATTTTCATCCTTCTTCTACTCATTTCGTTGCATTTATTGACGATGTTTTGTAACACATAAATTGCAAAATTTACAATAATCCACTGTCAAATAATTAATCCTAAATATTCCTCACATTTCAATTCCTATTGAGACTGAATTCCCGATGAGAATGAATTTACTGTAAATATCCATATCTGTTCCAATACATACATATTACATGATATCCTATGACTTGTTATACTGGATAGCACAACCTTATGTAAGAAACACATACAAACACCAGGAAAACACATAAACGTAGTTCAAAACGAATTACTGCAGTTACTGGGCATGAGTAAAGGGGAGGCTGCACACATCTGCCAACTGTAAAAATACCAAGAGCCAACATGCCAATGAACAAAGCTTAGGCTGAGGAGCACAAAATGGAATGCATACCACTCGAATAGGAGAATCCTGTCACCATGGCATGAAAAAAACCCACCTCTCTCAGTTAAGGTAGCTTAAAATAACAACGCTCATGTAGATTAGATTCACATGAACATCCTCCCAGCTAGGTGTACCAAAGTTTTTTTCAGCTCAAGAAAATACATGTTTTTCTGGTTAAAGCAGGACACAAGGTACGCTTTAAATCACACCACCAATTTGGTTTAAATGACTACATTTAAGGACATTGCAGAACGCAGGTCAGTAGGTCAAGCAGTCCCTAACAGCTCTATGCAGACCTGGAAGAGGATGCCCATGCCATGCTCTTATTGCTTTTTACATGCTTAGGAAAGCAGAGGAAAAGGTTCTGCTTGCACCAGAGTGCTCTGCAGGGCTTTCCCAGAACACCTCTAAATTCATGATCTTAGATGCAAACAAAACCAAAAGGTCGGAAATGGTATTAATTGGTTTATATAATTGAGTCACCATGATCAGCACAAACTCTGAATACCACTTATAACTAGAAGCTGAAAATGGAAC